ACATGCGACTGTCCAAAGAGCTGCTTTAAAATTGCCTTAGCTCTCTTATATCCCACTTGTGGATCCATTATAAGACAACCTTCAATCGCATTTCTTGCTTTTCCTTTACAGTAGTGAATTAAATATAATAAACGCAAATTATCATCCCTTACTCTAGGTTCTATAAGCGTCTCAAACTGTCTAACGAACCTAAAGTAGTCTCGGTGTTTGCCGTCAAAGAATAGAAGTTCAACCTTTAGTAATTCCAAGGCTACTACCGGTGTCCTAAACATCTGATCCTTCTCTGGTACCTTAGAATTCTCGTCCAAATTTTGTTCCTTAATGCCTTCAAAGGGTGACTTACAATAATAAGTATCAAACATAACATCACTGTAGAATCCTTTTTGAATGTTTTGTTGTTTGGAAAATCCCTCCAGGTTTACATATTTTTGTTATGACATGACGGACTTTTTCTGTTGACATTTTTGGTATTTTATTTGATTCCAATTTGAGATTTTATCATTGTATATTGTTATTATTTCTATATTTTGTACTTATATTGAAGTTTTTGTGTTTGCTTCTGATCTGTATATATGTTGTTTAAATTTGATCTTTAATATGGCTACAGCCATATTTGGATCGATACGGTAGTTGTTGGACTTAACGTCACTTATCTATCTTTGTTTCGGATACTCTTCGGAGTAATTGTAACCTGGAAGGTGTATTAATTCCAGGTACTGCTTTGTATTTCCATGTTTTTATTAATAAGACCACTTTCGCCTAGAAGTTTTGCTTTATCGGGACCTTGGACTGGGAGAAACGAGTTCAGGAGTGCACCTATTGGAACCCATTGGAACGGCCACCGTAGAAATCCATTTACAATCACTACTGGTGGAAAGTGAACCCATTAAACAAGAAGAATCATAAACGACTTGCCAAACATTTCGGGATTCTTCATGCTCTTCCACCCTCTTCGTGTTTGTTTTCTTTCGGCAGCTCATGGTTAATTGAAGTTCAACGGAAGATAAATAACAAATACAAAATATAGAAATTCCACATGTAAATTCTCGTTAATAAATATCCAAAATCAGAAAATCGTTTTCCAAAATACAGTTTGATCAAAAAAAGAACGATAAGTAATCCAAAGTTCTTCTACCAAGAAGTTTAATATTGTAAACAATTAAAATTCTAAATGTTTCCTTATTCTTATTAATTGTCAGATTGTAGATGAATTATCTACCCTAGCAGTTCACTTTGATTCCAGTAGTTGTAGGTCGAACGCGATCCATTATCAAAACACAATAAAGCGGTCTATTTTTATAATAAAATGGAAATACAAACAGTTACCTGACAGTTAATACACCTTCCAAGTCCAAATTACCCTGATGGGTATCCGAATCCAAAAGAATAAGTGATACTAGTATTAACTGCCACGGTATCAAATCTAAATATGGCTGTAGCCATACTAAATATCAAATTTAAACAACATGTGTACAGTTCAGAAGCAAACATAAAAACTTCAATATAAGTACGAAATATGGAAATAATAACAATATACAATGATAAAATCTCAAAATGGAATCAAATAGAGTACCAAAATGTCAACAGAAAGGGTCAGTCATATCTTAAAACAAATATATATATACATGGAGGGATTTTCCAAAAAACAAAACATTCAAAAGAGATTCTACATCTGGGTTGAGCGGTCTAATGTATGGACACTGAGAGGCATACTATTGACCGACGTTTTGGGTTTTTTAGCAACCCGTTCGCACGATATCGGGATTTTCGATGCACTATCGACCCCGGGGTTTATGCCTCTATAATTTATCCTGGTTGTTACAGTGTAAAGTGTACTAGCGACCTCAATACTTGACATGATGCCAGGAAGATTAGGAGGTGAATACCGAGATAAATAGAATACGAGATACACAAAAAAGGGGTTTAGGAAAGAAGAAATTTAGTAGTATATAATAAAACTACAAGGAATAGAGCCTGAAAGTACTCCGAAATTGCAACTTTGCCTTTGACCGTATTAGTTGTGGTGATCATAGACAATCTGGTATCTCTCACCACTAAATATTCATACTACGTCAGGTCCAAGAACAATGACACACGTTCAAAAGTCTCAGAGTAGTAGTATTTCTCGACCTGAAGGCGGCATCCAACTGAAAAACGCTTGCGATTTCGCAGGTGCATCCACTCTCTGTATTCATTCAAATTCTAACCTTCCAAAATCAGAATCCACCGTCGTTACTTCACTGGATATACTGAGATCATTGATATTTGGTTCAGCTGTTTAGAATCCACAATTCACACTTGACATTTCCTCCTTTTTCCTGCTTTACAAAACAGAGATTTCACTATAGGGTGGAGTTACTGACCAGCAAACATTGATGGTATGGGCGATAACTTCAAACAACCCATGTTTGTGGGGCAGAACATTTTGTTTGCTTTCGGCTCTTTAGATTGATGAGACGACTAATCAGTAACACTGAGGTTGCTCTTATACGCTTGCTACTTCAGTGGTTCATGTTTCCAAAACTATGCTGAGGTCGCTATTCTGTCGAGACACCCGCAACATTCTTACTCAGGCGCTTACAGTATGACTTAGAGGTTGGAATTCAATAATAATAAAAAAAACAGTTAGACTGTGCGAGATTTTATTCGTCAAATATTTATTTTTACAAACTCTACTCTTTTATATTCTTTTATTCCCATAATTTACTTTAATTTAAGTGGTCAGTATGAATTTTATCTTGACTTACTACTGTATTGACTACTTTAACATGACAGGTTAAGTAGTGCTTTGGTTAAATATATACACTTGCCACACTGCTGCCTTTTCCTCTCTCTCTTCTCCTTTTCAGAACCCCATTCACGGTGGGAAATCCTTGGCTACTCTAGGGAACATGCACCCTATGTACATGACTGTCTGGATCACAGCTCGTATCAAGCGCGTTCCATATGACCTTTCCCAACAAATTCACTATTGATCTCGGCAAATCGCCAAAAGAACCTATTGTGCACCTTCCTTCCTTATTTGTACTCTAATATTGAAAATGTGGCTGTATAATACTGTTTCTGTCAGTGACATGGTGTAAATATGCAATCAGAAACTGACTCTTATACTTAATTTAACTGCTATAACTTTACAGTAATTGTGAAAGCATTTGTGTAAATTTGATCTAGCCTGTAAACTGGCGTGACTCATGTAACTTAGTTATTTGAGAATAAATTATTATTATTATTATTATTAGAGCATTCAAAATCGGCTCACAAACGCGAAACAAATTACTTGTCAGCTGACTAACGACTTTCCCCATCGAGTCGTTAATCAGTGAAACTTGTTACCTTAACATGTGATTGAAGCTCCATCTGTCGACACACACATTCTTTCCACTCCAAATTATTTGAGTGATTGGTGTTTTTTTCTTACACATCTCAGCTTGCTCAACAACGAAAAGTAATAATAACCTGCTGAAACCATGACGTGACTGTAAACTGGTTGATTAGATTGCACTCTACTCTCCTGGGCGCAACCTTATCAACACTTACAACTGTGTGAGTTTCACATTGCGTATTATCAATTATACTGTTCTCACTTACACGCTATTGACTTACATTGACCCCTTAGTGTTATCTTTTGCTCAACTTTTAACCGTGATATTCTTTATATCTCCTGCTTAGCTAGTTAAGTACATCTTCCGCACTACATTCTAAATGCTTATATCTTGTTTGCAAATCCGTACTATTTCTCCATAACTGTTAACTGTATAGTATTGATGCCTAACCGATAGTTCATAAGTTGTAACAGCCAGACAAGTTTGTGGAAGGAACTTGCAGTGTTTCTCAACAGGATGCGAGACATAGAACACTAAGTAGAACTCAATAGCTTCTTTCAAACATTTAAAATGAGCCTAACAACTCAAAATGAGGGAGGGTGGAGTCACTGACCAGCAAACATTGATGGTGTGGGCGATAACTTCAAACAACCCATGTTTGTGGGGCAGAACATTTTGTTTGCTTTCGGCTCTTTAGATTGATGAGACGACTAATCAGTAACACTGAGGTTGCTCTTATACGCTTGCTACTTCAGTGGTTCATGTTTCCAAAACTATGCTGAGGTCGCTATTCTGTCGAGACACCCGCAACATTCTTACTCAGGCGCTTACAGTATGACTTAGAGGTTGGCATTCAATAATAAAGAAAAAAAACAGTTAGACAGTGCGAGATTTTCTTTTTACAAACTCTACTCTTTCGATTTCGACGTACATAAATCCAGCTTCTTACTTCGACTTCTCTTCTATCCACCTGACACTGCACAACTCTCCCTTCTTTTTGCTGTACTCCTTTATCTGTGTGTTATATTCTTATATTCCCATAATTTACTTTAATTTAAGTGGTCAGTATGAATTTTATCTTGACTTACTACTGTATTGACTACTTCAACATGACAGGTTAAGTAGTGCTTTGGTTAAATATATACACTTGCCACACTGCTGCCTTTTTCTTTCTCTCTTCTCCTTTTCAGAACCCCATTCACGGTGGGAAATCCTTGGCGACTCTAGGGAACATGCACCCTATGTACATGACTGTCTGGATCACAGCTCGTATCAAGCGCGTTCCATATGACCTTTCCCAACAAATTCACTATTGATCTCGGCAAATCGCCAAAAGAACCTATTGTGCACCTTCCTTCCTTATTTGTACTCTAATATTGAAAATGTGGCTGTATAATACTGTTTCTGTCAGTGACATGGTGTAAATATGCAATCAGAAACTGACTCTTATACTTAATTTAACTGCTATAACTTTACAGTAATTGTGAAAGCATTTGTGTAAATTTGATCTAGCCTGTAAACTGGCGTGACTCTTGTAACGTAGTTATTTGAGACCGTCTAACCACAGGGGAAATCGTATGCATTCACAGAAACAAAGGCTAACAAAAGCCACATTGTAGAATATGTCGCGTCGAATAAGTACATAACTTTCAGAATTCACATACACTCTATAACCTTCCCGCTAAAATGAAACAATAATTAATGTTACAAAATAATGGAAAGAGAAATGAAAAAAAGAAAATTCAAATATCTCTGAACTTTACCTAACAGTGGCTCCATTTACAAAGCCTAGTTGTTACCATAAATATGTAAAAGTTTACATTGCCAACCAAAACCTGTTGAGGTCTAAATAAGCGCGAATACGTAGTCTGAACAAAAATCGTATGTGCTGGAAATACAAAACAATGATGATAGACATAGTCAAATGCTGTATCAAACAATAACCTGGATACACGTTCGAATGAAAATAAATCTCAGTGAAATAACAAAATTTATAACGTCTATAGTGAACCCTGAATTGGAAACTCCGAAGCTACTCAGTAATCCTCCCCACGAGATACAACTTCTTTACATGTTGGTCTTAGTAGAACGGTATGCTCCCATTGAGCAGTATAGCAACCACGTTGATCGCACATTGTGGGATATGGATCTACTATTCCCACGTCACATAGATTTTTGAGGGCCATCAGATATTTTGTCTCACCTAGACGATCTAACCAACGACGGCAAAATGCAAGTGTACTGAAATTACGATCAATTACATTTAACAGTTGTTTCGATCTGGCTAACCTGTTAAATAAGGGAAAAAAGTGAAAAGATTGTACATTTCAAAACAGAATAACAAACATACCAGTTCTATAAGAACCAGCAAATTTTCTACAATTGTACTGACTTATTCCACACCATTAGATATTGAACTACGTATACACAAACTTGGAACTTTGCAGAACTATGTTTGAACACAAGTCAACTAAGCTGTAGTTGTTGTAGCTCGCAGACTATAACCGACAAAGTTATCATGGGAAGGACAACATGACAGGATGAGTTGCAAAGCTATAGATAGTGGGGCGGGGTAACATTGAACTCAGAATTACAAAGAGACAGAAACGAAGCTAACAGTACATGCACAACTTTTCATGTACTAGTTTACATTGCCAAACAGTATCCGACTTTTTCAAAACTGAGATAATTACACAGTCACATTAACGGAACATTAGTAAACTAGAAACGTAACGTTATTAAAATTACCTAAGAGGAACATATCCAACATCAAATTTCTTCATAAAATACAGAACTTCATCCCCCTCAAGAACGTAACCTTTTCCTGTACTACCGGATGTTTCGATCGCATAATATTCATTTTCCTTAAAAACACACGTCATAACAAAACAGGTAAGTATAAAAAGTTATCAATGTAATTTTAAATGAAAATAACGTGAAAACTACACATGATTAGAGCAAATACCTCCATACGAGTTTGGTCCGGTCCGCGTAAGATTGACACAGATTTTCCACCATGAATTCGGTAAGGCTCCAAACAACGACCATGTAAATTACGTATGAGTTTCACTGAAAGGATACAACAATAATCAGTAATTTAATATATCAATTATCATTATATATGTTAAAAAGAATAACGTCTACAAATAACTAAACAGTAAAATTTTAAACAATCAATTTAACTGGATAAAAGTAACAAAATTACGAAATTGGAATGCTGCACGAACTCATAGTCAACATAAATATTCATGCTTCAAAATTATTCACACAGTTAGATCTGTAGTCGGTGAGAGATTTGCAAACCTATGTGCCTTCAGCAATTTGGTCATCGGTGGCACAATATTCCCGCACAAACGCATACACAAAGCTACATGGATTTCACCGGATCACACTACTCAAAACCAGATTGATCATATCTGTATAAACAAAACGTTCAGAAGGACTATGGAGGATGTGAGAACCAGGAGAGGAGCTGATATAGCCTCAGATCACCATTTGCTGATCGCCAAAATGAAACTGAAACTAAAGAAGCACTGGACAGTGGGACAGACAACATCACACAATTTTAACACGGCCTCTCTTCGGGATACTGTAAAGCTCATCGAATTCAGGATAGCCCTCACCAATAGGTTCCAGGCTTTTCAGGATCTACACAATGAAGAGGACGCAACATTGGAGAGCAATTGGAAAGGGATTAAGGAGGCAATCACTTCAACATGTCACAAAGTTCTGGGTCACAAGAAGTACCATAACAAGGAATGATTCTCTGTTGAAACTCCTGCGAAAATTGAAGAAAGGAGGAACAAGAAGGCAGCAATCAATGTCAGCCAAACAAGAGCGGAGAAAGTTACCACACAAGCTGCATACACAGAAGCAAACAGGGAAGTGAAAAAGAGCGTCAAAGCTGACAAACGAAAATATGTGGAAGATCTAGCAATGAAGGCGGAAAAGGCTTCAAGAGGTAGTAAAAACCTTATCCAATTAACCAATATGAACATGTACAACACGTCGTTAGGCTGGTCATATCCTATCCGGGTATTACAATCCATATCGTGGGGATGAGTCGTCAATCCACCACTACTTGCTCCGATCGGCAGATACAATGAAGTCCGTGATGCTGACTTATCAACAGAAGTTCTTGACCCATAAATAATATGCAAGGGTGGGATCTCCAATTTTGATATTTCCTCGTCTTCCGAAGACTCCAAATAGCATAACATAGGAACAATATTTAACTCTCCATCTCCTGATACAGAGGAGGTTTGATCAGCATTCGTCATCGTCGGCAACTCATTTGTCACATCAGTGACATCCAGATTATTATCAACGTCATCATGATTCCATTGTGTCAGACAGTTCGCATCAATTCGGACTGCACTAGCATCCGTAGAGTGAAACTCTTCCATTGTGGTATAACGCATCTCGCTACAAGAAAGAACAGCATTAGTGTCACAATCCAAAACCGATAAACTCACTTGTTGTTGTTGATGTTCCGTTTCAGAGACACAAGACATATGCACATCAATAGCATCGTTATCATGCAACACTAGAGTGACTGTTACCATCAGACGCTTCCTTCCCATCATCACTTGACTGACAGCCGACCGAAGTAGGAACACTTACAGTTACACAACCTTGTGTATCCTCAATCAACTTACCATTCGCGGCAGGGTGCGATGACGTCAAAACACTAGAAGGCTCGTTCGATGAAGTTGATCGACTAGTCACTATAGGTGGACTGCTCACACTTTCTGTCTCTTTATTATCGCTGTCACTAATAAGATTCTGATGACTACTATTTCCATTGCTAGTCATAGCATCCGAAAGAGAACGAAGTTAACGCTTCTTAATAATAGTAGCATCATGTTGTTTCCTATGCTTCTTAGCTTCAGTAGCAGTATGTGAGCGTAACGTACGATCATTTCGGCGACGATGAGTGTCTTTCAACTTCCATCGATCACTATTACTCGCAGGAGTATCTTCAATGCTATTATCATTAGTAGCCGCAGCTGTACAAGCAATAGTACACTTCTCATGACATCCAGTCGACTCATGCACAATGGCTAACTCTACTCGATCAACATTGCTTTCCTTACTGGAAATGCTCTTAGCCTCTTCTATCTTATCACTGTTGGTGGTGCTCATCCCGAAGCTTGTAGAAGAAGTCAGTGATGGTGGAGTGCGACAGGTCGACAATTCCGTGCTCGATTCCTCATGCTGCATATTCAACACAACTGCATGTCCATTAAAGCTAGATGACTCCTCATTGCACCTAGGGTACTGAATGTTAGCCCTCACAGTACTGCCATCACTGTGGCTAATGCTATTGCCACCGACGCCTACATTCTCCACGCTCAAACATCCAATTTCGTCTTGATTCGAAGTACACAAGGAAGCTACATTAGCAACATCAACCGACGAAACAGCACTACCTGTAGTGATTCCACTATCGTTACCATCACGTTTATTATTCACATCAACTACGCTATTATTAGTGGATACATCAGGTTCCACTTCCACTTTGACGTTATTGTTGTCCACAATGATGTTCCGACTATTCATAGTTAATGACGAGTTGCAAGATAGTTGGCATGCAGGCTTTAAAGCAAAGCTACCACTTTCACTAACACTATCAATGTTGCTATGACTACTTGGACCAGTATACAACCGTCCATCCGTTGACCGTAAACAAACATCAGCAGGACGCGCTAAGCTGCTAATATCTTCGGCTTTAATATCATGATGCTCTATAGAACTAGATATAGTAGCCCGCAAACATCCTGATTGCTCAGCAACATGAAGTGTTGTGTCACTTTTCACACTTGTTGTCCTAGAATCAAATCTAGGTCCTGTTAAATAATTTACCATACGTGAAGGCTTCCGAACATAAGCTTTATTCCATCCAGCCAATCCTGTTTTGTCCTTATTCATATTTACTGTACTCACTAACCTCTGTTTGCTCGAATCCAAATAACCGTTCCTTGCTTTTCGAGGCGTTAAGAGGCTTTTACCATCACACACCTCGGATCCATTCTGATGACTACCCTTTTCGCCTTTTTCTTTCTTTTCCATACTTAAAAAAACCATCTTATCTGCTACACAAACCGGCTTCTTACTTGGATACGCATCAAGGGGTTTTAAACCATCGGGGTCACACACTCGGTTTTCAACAGCGTATACTTTTCTGATACAATTGACAACTCTCTTAAATTCCGGGTGAGAGTTAGGTGTAAACGAAGAATCCTCATGTCTCGCACGCAGATCACTAATAGCTTCCGTACCATGTCCTGTTTTAGCACGATTAGCTAATCTTCCGAATCTACTACTAGCTATCTTAGAACGAGACATAATAAATTCCGTCAATTCATTGAAATTAGGTTCTCTTTCCTCTTCGTCCCACTTGATTCCCAGCTCCGCCCACTGGGCTTGCATTCGATGAGGTAAGAGCCTAACTATTCGTTCTGTAGAATTTAGTTCTGAAATACAATTTAACTGTTCCATAGTAATAGCAACGTTTTGCATTTTAATTGCTAATTCCGTCAATTTTTCTGGGACATTGTAGTCCGCATTGCCACGGAATTGAGTTCCGTTGTACAATTTAACTGTTCTAAGGTCAGAGCAACATTCTGCATTTTAATCGCCAAATTCGTCAATTGTTCAGGATCATTATAATCTGCATTCACGGTTCTAAACAAGTCCTCCAGAGTTTCACGGGCTATCACATGCGACTGTCCAAAGAGCTGCTTTAAAATTGCCTTAGCTCTCTTATATCCCTCTTGTGGATCCATTATAAGACAACCTTCAATCGCATTTCCTGCTTTTCCTTTACAGTTGTGAATTAAATATAATAAACGCAAATTATCATCCCTTACTCTAGGTTCTATAAGCGTCTCAAACTGTCTAACGAACCTAAAGTAGTCTCGGTGTTTGCCGTCAAAGAATAGAAGTTCAACGTTTGGTAATTCCAAAGCTACTACCGGTGTCCTAAACATCAATACTTTCCTAGGTACCTTAGAGTTCTCGTCCAAGTCTTGTTCCTTAATGACTTCAAAGGGCGACTTACCATAATAAGTATCAAACATAACATCATTGTTAACTGTGTGAGAACCCATTAAATATGAAGTGTCGTAAACGACTTGCCTCGCAATTTAGGATTGTTCATGCGCTTCCACCCTCTTCGTGTTTGTTTTCATTCGAGAGCTCATAATTAATTGGAATTCAACGGGAAATAAATAACAAATACGAAATATAATGTTTCCACCGATAAATCTTCGTCAATAAAAATCCCAAGAGATCAGAAGATCGCTATCCAAAATACAGTTTGATCAAGAAAAAGATAAGAAATCCAAAGTTCTTCTTCTAGGAAGTTTAATTTTGTAAAAGATTAAAATTCCCAATGTTTCCTCGTTCTTATTAATTGTCAGATTGTAGATGAATTATCTACCCTAGCAGTTCACTTTGATTCCAGTAGTTGTAGGTCGAACGCGATCCATTATCAAAACACAATAAAGCGGTCTATTTTTATTATAAAATGAAAATACAAACAGTTACCTGACAGTTAATGACTTAGAGGTTGGCATTCAATAATAAAAATAAAAACAGTTGGACAGTGCGAGATTTTCTTTTTACAAACTCTACTCTTTCGATTTCGACGTACATAAATCCAGCTTATTACTTCGACTTCTCTTCTATCCACCTGACACTGCACAACCCTCACTTCTTTTTGCTGTACTCCTTTATCTGTGTGTTATATTCTTATATTCCCATAATTTACTTTAATTTAAGTGGTCAGTATGAATTTTATCTTGACTTACTACTGTATTGACTACTTCAACATGACAGGTTAAGTAGTGCTTGTATCAAGCGCGTTCCATATGACCTTTCCCAACAAATTCACTATTGATCTCGGCAAATCGCCAAAAGAACCTATTGTGCACCTTCCTTCCTTATTTGTACACTAATATTGAAAATGTGGCTGTATAATACTGTTTCTGTCAGTGACATGGTGTAAATATGCAATCAGAAACTGACTCTTATACTTAATTTAACTGCCATAACTTTACAGTAATTGTGAAAGCATTTGTGTAAATTTGATCTAGCCTGTAAACTGGCGTGACTCCTGTAACGTAGTTATTTGAGACCGTCTAACCACAGGGGAAATCATATGCATTCACAGAAACAAAGGCTAACAAAAGCCACATTGTAGAATATGTCGCGTCGAATAAGTACATAACTTTCAGAATTCACATACACTCTATAACCTTCCCGCTAAAATGAAACACCAATTAATGTTACAAAATAATGGAAAGAGAAATGAAAAAAAGAAAATTCAAATATCTCTGAACTTTACCTAACAGTGGCTCCATTTACAAAGCCTAGTTGTTACCATAAATATGTAAAAGTTTACATTGCCAACCAAAACCTGTTGAGGTCTAAATAAGCGCGAATACGTAGTCTGAACAAAAATCGTATGTGCTGGAAATACAAAACAATGATGATAGACATAGTCAAATGCTGTATCAAACATTAACTTGGATACACGTTCGAATGAAAATAAATCTCAGTGAAATAACAAAATTTATAACGTCTATAGTGAACCCTGAATTGGAAACTCCGAAGCTACTCAGTAATCCTCCCCACGAGATACAACTTCTTTACATGTTGGTCTTAGTAGAACGGTATGCCCCCAGTGAGCAGTATAGCAACCACGTTGATCGCACATTGTGGGATATGGATCTACTATTCCCACGTCACATAGATTTTTGAGGGCCATCAGATATTTTGTCTCACCTAGACGATCTAACCAACGACGGCAAAATGCAAGTGTACTGAAATTACGATCAATTACATTTAACAGTTGTTTCGATCTGGCTAACCTGTTAAATAAGGGAAAAAGTGAAAAGATTGTACATTTCAAAACAGAATAACAAACATACCAGTTCTATAAGAACCAGCAAATTTTCTACAATTGTACTGACTTATTCCACACCATTAGATATTGAACTACGTATACACAAACTTGGAACTTTGCAGAACTATGTTTGAACACAAGTCAACTAAGCTGTAGTTGTTGTAGCTCGCAGACTATAACCGACAAAGTTATCATGGGAAGGACAAAATGACAGGATGAGTTGCAAAGCTATGGATAGTGGGGCGGGGTAACATTGAACTCAGAATTACAGAGAGACAGAAACGAAGCTAACAGTACATGCACAACTTTTCATGTACTAGTTTACATTGCCAAACAGTATCCGACTTTTTCAAAACTGAGATAATTACACAGTCACATTAACGGAACATTAGTAAACTAGAAACGTAACGTTATTATAATTACCTAAGAGGAACATATCCAACATCAAAGTTCTTCATAAAATACAGAACTTCATCCTCATCGATAACATAACCTTTTCCTGTACTACCGAATGTTTTGATCGCATAATATTCATTTTCCTTAAAAACACACGTCATAACAAAACAGGTAGGTACAAAAAGTTATCAGTGTAATTTTAAATGAAAATAACGTGAAAACTACACATGATTTAACTGTTCCAAATAAATATTCCGAACACTCAAAGAGCTTTTAACTTTATCGACTTCGGGTGCGTTATTCCGGTGAATATAACGTTATGCCACGATAATCCTACAGTTATTCAAGTTTGTTGCGTCAACAACAACAACATCTAGAAGATAGTATGCCAGATTTATCTGTTCAGTTAGAAAAGCCTGAAAGTCCTGTCTTAAGCTGCCAAAACAGCCTACATGAGAAGCAAAAGGAAATAGAATTGGCAAAGCTAAAATAAAAGAAGTGGAAAAAAGGATCTTGTTGGAAATGCTGTTACGAGAAGGATTTCCCCAAAATTCTAGCAAAAGAGGAGACATGAAACGCGACACCTGTCCTACAACGAATTATGTAGAAAGATACTTCGAACTGCCGAAGCCAGAAATAAGGAAATTTGACGGAAACCCAAAGGAGTATTGGATATTCACGAAAGAGTTTCAGAAAGTTGTAGAACAAGCGACAACCGACGACGCCATACGTTTAATTACTTAATCCAATTTTGCACAGGTAAAGCGAGAGACTCTATAGAACATTGTACTATAATGAATGGCACAGATGGCTTTATAATGGCTAAAGATATTTTAAAAAGGAACTTTGGTCAGAATTACATGGTGGCTAGGGCCTTTATAGATGAAATAATTGACGGACCACCAGTTAAGAACGACGAACCGGCGGCATTGGCTGACCTTAGTCAAAAAATGCAAACATGCGTCGTGACGTTACAACAGTTAGGTTACCAGTCCGATTTAAATGCAAGCAGAACGCTAGAAGCTATTGTGGCGAGGTTGCCTTCGAATCTCTGGTTTAAATGGGCGGAAACAGCGGTAGATTATATAAAACAAGACACAGAGCCTACCTTTGAGGACTTAGCTAGGTTTATCGAGGAACGTGTCAACATAATGTGTACGAGATATGGAGAACTCGCAGCGAATTTAAAGTCAGATAAACGAGTTTGGAACGTTGTTTCTTATCAACCACCGCGTACAAAGAAGAACGTGTTTACATTGCAGCACTCGCCTACAAGTACACGTCAAGAAAGCTATTTAGTGTGTATCTTATGTAAAGACAACCACTTTCTAGACCAGTGTCCAACGTTGCTATCCCTTGAAGTAGATAAAAGGTTAGATCCAATCAAGGAGAAAAGGTTACGACACGATAAAATAGACGCAGTGGTGTACCTTTAACATGGTATTCGTAACATCTGATGTGGCGAAATAGGCTGACCATGATGGTTGTATTTACGTTTGTCACCTCCACTAGATTGAGTCCATGGATTCATTCTTAAGCATTCTTAAGCATATACAGGTTTCGTTGTCAACAGTCTGTCTATCGAATGTTTGAGTTACTTGAAACCTCTGTATTATATAATGACGATAATAGTAAATTCAGAAGATAATAATTTCAGAGTACATTTCGCATGCTTACAAATTGCACACTGTTCACGATCCGTCCTACACATTCGGATTGTTGTTTTAGTTGTTGTAGTACATCCATTCCAGTACGTTTTATTTGTTCATTATGTAATTTTCAAAACTATAAGCGTAATTGATGTTGCAAAGTTTCTATGGTTTGCCATCGTACAACGTCCTGAATTAGATTTGTTTTGATTGCAGAAGTTGATTTTGCGCAAATCGGTCAACTTGGAATACAACGTAGCTTATCCATTTCGTATAATATTTGTTTATTTTATCTCAGTCTGCTGTGGAATGGCGAAGTGTCTTGAAATATCTTTGTTCACCTCCCTTTTTTTTCTAGTTGATGATATCGGACTATCTTTTTACCGTATACGTATACATACTGTGCAACCTATTACTTGAATTAAAGGCTGATGATGAATAGTTCGAATTCAGTGGATTCTTCATCTCAAGTGGTGTGAATGTCTTGAGGGAGTATAAAGTGGTGATTTTATGCAACAGAATAAAAATGCTTCTTATAAGTGACCTGGAAAGAGACAAATCTGCAGTCTGTCTGTCTGTGAACATTGGTATGTTGAGTATGGTTTGTCTAGTGGTCTAATCCTAGGTTCGTTGTCGGACCCTAAGGAACTACCTGGTCTCGCACACTTTTGTGAGCATATGTTGTTTCTTGGTACGGAATCCTTCCTAACAGAGAATACATATGCGAAGTACATAAGCAGTCATGGTGGTCACTGTAATGCTTTCACGAGTCCGGACAAAACGTCTTATGTGTTTGATGTTGCACCGGAGAATTTGAGAGAAGCTCTGCATATTTTCTCTCAGCTTTTCTAGTGTGTCCTCTTTTCACGGATTCTGACAATCTCTTCCTCCGTTATAACTAATTTAATCAGGTTTGTGTGTACTTAGTGGATTTCGCGTAAGACTAATCAAAGTAGCAACTCCAGTGCTCTACATCTTTCTGAATAGGGTTTTGATGTAGTATTGGTTTGTTTTGATAAATAAAAGAAGGATTTTGGTTTATATATTTCTGTTGATTTGGTACAGCCAGCGGACAAGTGATGGAGCAGTGCACTTCAGAACCAGATAAACAATCAGAAAAAGATCTAGAAGAAGTATGTGAGAAAATGAACGTGGTAGCAGAATCGAATGAGGATTCGTCGGTAAAACCAGCGACGAAAAAGAAAAAGAAACAGAAAAAGAAGTCTGGAAAATGCACAAGTATGTAAGGCATTCTGCTAATTAGATCTCTTGAAGATGGTCACGATGAGGCTGAGTTCAAAGAAAATGAGACAGGAGACCTTTCAGTTCACTGTAGTGAAATCGCCTCTTCTTCCATTAAAGCGTCAAGCAAAACATCTGAATATCAATCTCCAAGTGTCACACGTCAGACGGACCCTCCTTCTATCCCTATTTTTCAATTGTA